GCGCCTCTCCCATGCTCACAAAGGGGTAAGAACGTTTCATCTAGGCTAAGATCGGCCTGAAGACCAGATCAATACTTCTCGATCTTGACGGCCTCCTCCGTAATCTCACCTCGCAGGTAAACCTTGGTCTGCTCGAAATCAATGTTATAATCGTCGCGACACTCTTGGACCCCTGGGACAACTTGTTCCAGATATCCCAAAAAGCCTGAACAGGGAGTACGTAAACTCAGTATAGCCCCTAATCATAATGTCTCGGAAAAACTGACTAGCATTCCCAGCGTACCCACCAGGGTTAGGTGCGTTTCCGGGATACGCTCCAGAATTGGCTGCCTGCCACACTTCCCACTGGGACATCCAATAAGACCTTGGCTGGGCCATTCAGGTAGGACGTTCAGCCAACCGAACATGTATACTGCATTGCCAGGAGTAGCTTGCAGGTACTCCTCAATCATAGGCAACCACTGCCGAATATCAGGGCCACTCTCCTTGTTCTCGAACTTCGAGGGAGCCAGTGCAGCCTTGACAGCACCAGCCGCCATTAGCAGCATCAGCAACCTGCTACGCCGCGTTGGCCGTATTCTGGGCCTGTTGCAACTGATTGGCCATCGCATTCATGCGAGCCGTATTACCGGGTTGTTCAGCTTCATAAGAACAGACACCCGAACTGCATCACTCCCTGTGACAATAGACTGAGCCTCACATGTGATATGGGCATGTTCATTAAGGAATCTTGAGCTGTCTAGTATGCGTCAAACATTGCAACAATACATGTTGCATAGGTTGGTGATGGGGGAACAAGTGCAGCCATAGGGGGCACTGCAAGAGGAACACCCGCCATACTGTGCACCGCATCTCCCTGGAACTGACGGTACGCTGGCTGCCAGCCCGCCCCTTGGCAATGCACAACTCGGTATTCCCGCCACCTATAAGTATCTAAACTTCCTTGCACACCCAACTTCCGCCTGCTTCCCGCCACAATTTGAGCCTCATGATCTCCCAACACTTTTGGCCTGGCCCCAACTTCAAACATCAACCACACGGACCTGCCTACCCCATGCTTGGGTTCCCCAATCGCCGCTCCTCCTAGGTCCCCCGCAACCCCCGCCCC